GTTCCAAGTATTTTCAGGGACATTTAATCCAACACCAACGATCTTTATCACTTGTTGAATTTAAGCGGTTATACCGACCCTGTAATGTCACATCGTAACAATCTTAAACATAGACAATGAATGGTCTCGAGTTTGGAGCCCTCACGTCTCCGAGGCGTGTTACATACCTCAAAGTAGTAAGACGCACATGGTTTCAAAGCGGCAAAAAAGCAGGTACTTGTAATCACAATGTGCATACTTCTCACGCTCTGTTTTGTGCTGACTGTGTGCATGTACATTACGTGCATGATAGTACAAATAAACGATAAACACATATTTTCAAACTATTCTTCCAACATGTCCAAGGGAATTCGACTTTTGTGTAAAAATGTTCTTGTTCTGTTTGTCAGAGGAGAGGCATCACACACCATGTCCAGTTCTGCTTAACAGAAATGAAATCTGTGATGGTTTCCTTCTGAAATGAATCAACAATCGGTATCTCTGATTCATACTTAGCCTTAACCAAATACCAATCAGTGCATTAAGAAAAATAGATGGTTTCGCCCGCACGACATGCACGGGGACTAATTTGTGATAACACAAGCAGACGTAAGAAGAGGTTACCCCATTGGGATACATATTTTCATAAATCCAACGAGTTACATTCAACTGACTCTCAGGTTTACAGTCGAATACTACCGCTAGCAGAAGCAAAAACATTGTCACATGTCAGATTTTCGTTATCTTGGTCATTTGTTGTGGTATATATGATAGTTTGATATGGTGACTTTCCCTAATTGTCGCCAACAACTGAAGGGATGATGTAAATCCTGCTGGGGTCAATGCAGGTAGCAAAGGTACTGTACGTCCACATGGTCCCCAGTATGGATCTATAGCTCTTTGTTTATATAATGTATTGTCCTGTCTAGTGATGTATTTTTATGGTTCCATGCTAGTTTTAAATAATAATCTGTGATAAGTCTAGTTATTTTACTGTCCCTTGTTGACAGGATTGTGTAGTTTACACGTATTTATTATGTATAACCATTGAAAGTCACGATATGGCTGAAATATTGCCGATGTGACTTAAAATCTTAACTCTCTCACTCAGTCACTGATATGGTGACTTAACAGCATGCATTTGATGGAAATGTTACGAGATAATCACGTGAGCGAAAGTTAAAACAAAGTAGGTGGCGATGAGTGAGTGAGTGAGTAAGGTTTTACGCCGCTTTTAGCAATATTCCAGGAATATCACGGCGGGAATCGAACCCGGGTCTTCGGCGCGACGAGCCAACGCCTTAACCACTAGGCTACCCGACCGCCCCAGGTGGCGATGAATGTAGGTGGTTGTCACTCGTGACAGCTTCGGTACATCGGTCACAAACTGGGTGAGCCAGACTTTATCAGCTGTAGTCCTTGAGCTTCGGGACCGTGAAGATCCGGGATAGAATAGGTCTTCAGCGACCCATGCTTGCCGTAAAAGGCGACTATACTTGTCGTAAGAGGCGACTAACGGGATCGGGCGGTCAGGCTCGCTGACTTGGTTGATGCATGTCATCGATCCCAATTGCGTGGATCGATGCTCATGATATTAATCATTGGATTGTCTGGTCCAGACTCGATTTTTTTACAGACCGCCGTCATATAGCTGGAATATTGCTGAGTGCGGCGTTAAACAACAAACCAACCAACCAACCTTGAGCTTCGGCCATGTCAACTATGTGTCAAGGACTTTATCAGCGGGAGTTCTTGCACTACGATCATGTCCTTCACTGAGTGTTCGTGACTTTATCAGCTGAAGTCCTTGAGGTACTGTCACTTTATGTACAAGTCCATTCATGCTGTATTTACGTTATGTCCATTTGGGGATTTGCGTGTCAAATCATTGTGATTCCACCAAAAAAAACAACGACAAACACCATTCTATAATCATAAAAATATAGAAATTTCCACTAAAAGCAGTGTCCATTGTACGATTCCGACTCTATCATAAACATGTGTCTATAAATCAACTATACATCGAACAAACATTCAAATCACGATTTCGATGTGATTTGTGTTGTTTTGTTGTGTCGGTGAGGTATGATGACTGGAAAGAATATTTGACTTATTCTAAAGCACCAAGAAGTTGTGACAAAACTAAATGACAAGAGATGTCTTCAGCTGTCCAATAGTTAACTTTCCCCTTGTATCGAGCAATATTCCTGCTGCTCCAGCCCTTGGGGTCGCCAGTTTTAAGGTACAATCGAGCATGTTGTGCCTATCAATATTTCAAAGAGCGTCATACAACTCTTGTTCAGAAGTTGTTTGATCAAGCCTTTGGTAAGACCTTCAAAATGTTTTATGGTAGACATGTGGCTGACGCATCAGTGACAAAAATGATGTCAGATGCAATTCCATATTTTGACTTGTACCATATGTTCCTGTGTTTTTTTTCAAGGTGAACAATTGACTTGCCCTTGCATGTGTTTGTGACGGTTACCACCAGTGGGGCAGGATACACTGGAGCCAACTGCACAAACAGTGGGGAAACTGACATTTATTGTCACATTTTTAATGATTCAATTATTTGAATAAAGTCCTTTGTTTTCTTATTTACAAATTATCCCTGCCTGAGCAACGTGAATCGAACCCGGGTCTTCGGCATGACGAGCGAACGCTTTAACCACTAGGCTACCCGACGGCCCCTTACCCACAAGGAGTGTGTTTCTGAAATGGATGTGTGATGTCATGCGGAGTGCATTATTATCTGCATCCATGTAATTATATAATTTAGGGAAATGCTTAATGTGTAAAATAAATCCTCCTTATGAGCCTCGAGGTTAAACGTGAGTGAATTATTCCTGGTTAGAGTTAGCTCCCTGGAGTGAATGAGCCAAAATTTATAGTCACATCGGCAGTATTTCAGCCATATCGTGACTAACAAAAAGTTATACATAATATATACATTTAAACAATAAAAGCCTGTCAACGAAGGACAGTAAAATAACTAGAATATCACAGAATATTATTTAAAACTAATATACAGCCATAAAAGATTTCACTATACGTAACGATAAAATATAACCATACGATATGACTCATTGCCTTGTCATCGTACCACTACGGCGTGGGGGCTCGATTATTATAACAATCACTGGTTTATTGAGCCTAGGCATGTAATGCCATTTGGTAGAGGACTTGTATACTGGTAAACAATTTGAGTGATTATAAAACGCCAACTCCAGATAATAACCCGTCACGATAATGCGACGAAACAGATTCCATAAGGTGTAAAAGGCAAAATAGCGGTGCAAATCGAGAGTAAATTTTTATAAAATTCTATTAAAATAACGACACCGACAACAACGATATATGAAATAATTTCTGAAGCACCGATGACAGATTTGTTTTAATTTTGAGAAAAGCAACCAACATATAGCCTTGGGTAGTTTGGTTTTAGAACCATTGCAGCTAACAAAAGACCACTGAAGTTTGAAACGTAGTATAACCATTTCTACTTATGCGTAGAATAATTCACCTACTAGGCATGCGCACCATTTATCGAAAAGGGCCACAATGCGACAACAAGACGTTAGCAATATTTAAGATTGTCACATTGTCACGTTGTCGCACAATTGAAAGGCTCTGTTTATTTTTAGATGGGGCGACAATGCGACAACGCAACATGTTTTGACCTTGAGAGATGTCATTTTGTCACGTTGTTGCCCTTTGGGAAAATATAAAGTAGTACAAGTATTTAAAGCGCGACAATACGACAACGCGACATTGCGACCCATGGGAAAATTTCACTTCACGTGTTATAATGCATTTCATGCTCAGTTACATCAAGACCATGTTTGTCATTCATAAGTCTTATTTCCGTTGGAACAAAATCACACTCCAAGTGTCGGGCAGGAATGATACCGGTTCGACCACTTAGCGACCACCTGATGCATGCACTTAAATATGGATCTTTCGGCCTAAGGCATGCTTATCAGTTTGCAAAATGACATCAATAACACTAATTTAAAACTAGTTGAGAATATATAAAAGTCATAAGTATTTGTGAACAACACAATATAAAAATGGGCTAGAGATCGTCAGTAACAAATGGGAGATCACCATACCAGGGACCATGGGGACTTACAGTCCCTTTGCTTCCTGCATGGACACTGGCTGGATTTATATCATCCCTTCAGTCACTGGCGATATTTTACCAGTGAAGCCGAATATTAAAATGACAAAAATTCTACGTATTAAAATTCTGGCATGCATATAAACACTTCGAATGATGTGGGACTTACATACCCTCTTAGCAATCCGGAAAGAGTGATCCAACTGTAAAACCTCAGACAATCGATGACAAAATAGCGGACAGCATTAAGCATGGAAAAAAGGCCTACTTTTTGTTTTTCATTGATTAATGAACTCATGGCTGCGTGGGTTTACAGATGAAGCTTACATGCTGAAATATCCACATCTCAAAAGAAACGTGTATACACGTTACGACCGCAGATGCATACATCCGGACAATGAAATCAACGCAATCATATGTGTGTATTGACTGGATGAGCTTTGTTGACTTTGCTCTCTACTGCTAAAATGTCTACTGGCTTTGTAAAAGTAATATTGATCATTTGGGTGTCAGGTTCCAGGTACTCTCATCACTGAGATGCTCTGATTTATTTCGATTTCAGCAACATTCCTGCTATATGACGGCTGTTGGGATGCTATGTTTGCAAAGCTTCGTGTTACAGAGGACAAGTAAAACTACCTTGTTTGAATATGAATTTACAGCCACAATACTTGATTTGTTATGTACTGATCCAACTGTCTGACAGTTATTTACTATAAGCAGTCTTAAGATATAGTTTACAGTTTACGCTTATTGATTTATGGCACTAATTGAAGTAATGTGTACTTGCAGAAAAATATATAACTTAATGCATATTGATCTGTAACATTGACGTCCATTTAGGATTGTTCACATTTCTGTGGTCTTCTGCAGCGAAGCACACAAACTCGGTTGGCCTCCTGTTATGACGTCCAAAGTGATTGTGTGTCTACTCTTGGTCATTCTCACCTTAAATAACACCGAAGGTGAACATATGACATTGAAGGACAACGTTCTCATTATAAGAGTGGACAGACCATGCAGTGTTTGCAAATATTTCAAAATATGGTTTGTGTTTGTGTGCGATGGTTGTCAAACACTTTCTTTGGTGGGATTTTGGATTGTTTAGGAATTGTGCAGTTTGTATCAATACGTAATATAAATTTCGAAAGGTTGTATGGTGATCGGAACGAGATAGTTCACTAAGGATAGGTCTTACTGACTTATATATCTTCATATGTGTTTAGCTTCCCTGCGGATAACGTCACCTGGAGACTGGGTGTTCATCAACACCTCCCTGTACGGCGTCGACATCAGGTCTTGCACGACGATGCCACTACAGATCAAGGCCTGTGACCAGGCACACGTGTGGTTTGGGGACGGCACTCCCACCAACTCCTATGAGATTGGTACCTGGAAGAGGGCAGAGACCGGGTTCAGACAGTGTAGTGAATGTTACAGCACTGAGAAATTCTACTCAAACCCGCGAGGCATACACTGCGATGAATTCAGGTAAGATCCCCGCATGGGTCCAAATTGTATTTATTATCAAGACGTAAATGATTATGTTACAAATACTTTGTCTTACTTGAGCTGTGTAAATATGTACCTATCTGAGTATCATTAATCATGGGTTACTCTCTATTCTTTGGGATACATGTGTATACTTCAGAATCGATATTGATAAATGTAAGAGTTTGTTGCCTGAAGTCGCCCAGCAACATTCTTGTTATGTGACGGCAACCTTTAGATAAACCAAAAAAGTGATGGACCAGGGACACGATAGTGCATTTACTGATTTTGTTGAAATAAAAAGCGACAAAGAAATATAAGTTTAATCAGCCATAGCATAGGTGGTGAACATATATAAAATATACTCATGCCCTGAATGTTTTCCCACAATTAATACAGCTCACTGAACAAAGCTTTTACTCCCCTGACAGTAAAAAACTTTCAATGATATTTTTATGTACCAGTACTCGATTATGTGTTTTCTGTTGATGCCATTAGTCTTATGCACCTGTGGTGGGCACGGGTGGCCCAGTCGTCTAAGGCGCCGCGATTCACTATGCAGAGTTGGGTCCCTTGGGCATGCCAGAAACCTATGATTGTGGGTTCAAATCCTGGTTCGCCCCGATTATGTTTCTAGGTTTGTCGGCACCATACCCGTGCTCTTGGGTTTCACCGAAGTGGTAAACGTCTGAGACATGCATCACTTCGGGCTTTCCTCCCACATTAAGCTGACACGCCGTGATATAACTGGAATACTGTAAAAAGCAACGTTAAACCCAAATCACTCATTCACTCACTTATTTCATTTTTTTGTCAGAGTGAGTAGCAATATTCCAACAATATTATGATGGGTGACACCAAGCAATGGGCTTCACACCTTGTACCAATGTGGCGAATCAAACGCTTCAACGACTATGCTAGAACAAACTGGGAATATGAAGAGGATATTTAAGGATATCATAATACCTGGACTGATAGTTGTTCATTTAATACGCTGAACATCTACAAAGAAATACATATGAAATGGAAATATATTTTCTCCAAAAGTACATGCCCAGAGATCTCAGCTTCAAGAGTATATTTACAACTAAAATAACACAGCATATTACTACAGCTATCTGATATGCCCAGGCTAACATTATTTACTAGAAAAAAGACATGAAGAACATATACATCCAGATACCTCCAGTTTCAAATATTTTTGTGTGGGTTTAACACTTAATTGTACAAAATGCCCCCCCCCCCCCCCCCCGCACACACACACACACACACAAATTGTGACATTTTAATTTTTAGCCTACACTTTATTTGCTGTGCTTGGATACTCAGAATGAGGTATAATACTTAATACAGTAACACAGTTAAGTGTCGTCAGACAAAAACAAACAAACATGTAGACAGGATAAGAAGAACACTCTCAAAGAATGTTGATATCGTGGTACGCGAACAACTGAAACACAATAAGTTGGGTACACTATGTGTAACATATTCAAACGTAAGGAAGCGTTATCGTGTGTCTTAAACGAACGAGTACGACTTATATTTTTAAGAGAGTATGTATGCAGTCGTCGAATCTACAAGACGGGGTATTCCTGTCTCCAGAGGACGATAAGTTGCATCTCCTTTATTGCTTTGTTAAGCCCTCAATCATCTCAGTGATTGAATCGATGGGTAAATAACGAGAAGAGGAAACGATCGACAATATCCACAAAAGGAAAATCGATCCGTTATTCAACACACAGAATTAAAGTAGAGTTGTGTGAAATAAGGGATCGCCCGCGTCTAATCACGACTTTAAGTTGAAGACCAAGTTCTCTACAGACGAGTGATTATCTCCTCCAACCAGCTACTCAGTCTCGGAAGCCCGAATGAATACAGTAAACACAAATAATCAAGACAAATGTTTATCATAAAGAGAGAAGGGTGTAATGTAATACACATCTCCCTATCTGCGCAGGTGTGTCTTCGAGATCTGTTGCGCGAGTACCAAGGGTCCAAACTGGTGAAGGCCTTGAACGTCCGTCACTGAGATGTCTCGGAGGTAATGGGATGCGAACACTATATCGGATTTCCAAAAACATCCCTCCATAATTGCGGTCAAGGAGCAATTACTAGTGGAAGCGACAGCACTGGTTTCGTAAGGATTTGATGCAACTGTAGCAGGCCAGCAAATGTGTAGGCTTGTAGGATCACTTAGCGTATGCAAAAAGAGATTGTGGTACGGGATACTTCTGTTGTAGCTGCCGCAGAGAGCGGGATGAATAACTTCTTACGTAATCGACGAAGTGTTTTCGCCGCTTCCATATAGATTCGAAGTGCACGTACCAGACACCAGATTGTAGAAATCTTAGTGCCCGTTGTAGTTGTGATGACAGAACCTTTTAGTTTATGAGATGACCGAAGATAGTGAAGTTATTCAGCAATTTGTTGCGGCGATACCGTGGCAGTAGTGGAAATGTCATGTGAATGACAAAACGATTCAAATGCCTTCCATTGATGGTCATATAGTGCTTTCGTAGATGGTCTTGGCCACTTGTTCAGAATAACACTTAGCTATCAATGATTTCTGTAAATGTTCCAAACGCATAGATTGAGAGTTGTTGGCGATGGATGACAGAGCTGAGAGTGATGTTATGCAGAAGATCTTCCCTAGAGGTAGATGGTAAAATTTCCTGTCTGCAATACTGCGTGTTGGCCAGTTGGGCGCAACCAAAAGTAGAGTGAGGCGATTGGTCGTTGTTATCTTCCGTAGAACCCGATGTAGAATGCTGGTTGGGGGAAAAGTGTAAGCATGTAGATTGCTAACGCATCGTGGTCCCAGTCTAGTGGGTCTGAGATTGATGATACAAACTGTCGAAGAGGGCTCTGATGAACTGGAAATCGTTTCGCACTTTTTGGTGTTGATGATCCAACCTAGTTGGTGAAGTAGACGTTGAGAGAAATCACGGTGACGAAGTAGAGTGTTCAAATCCTTGTTTGCTTGAATACAGTCGTCAATGTAGGTTTTGAAGACGATGCCTCGAGTGTTGAGGAACTTGATGATAGGTCTATTGAGGCAAGTTAATAGCCACAGGGTGGAGGAAATTCCAAATGGGAGCACTTGCCATTGGAAGTGTTGGCCTAGGAACACAATTCGAAAATGGCGGTGCCCTGGCAGGAAAGGGTCTTGAAGTACGCGTCTTGTAGAGCTAGGCGGATCCTGAAGTCGTCGGATGAATAATCGTTCGTAGTAGGGCGATTGATGTCATGCCAAAGTGTGAAGGCGTCTCCAGGTATAGTTTGTTGAAGGTTTTCATGTTGAAGATGAGATGTAGTTGAGGACTGTCCTTCTTGGGAACCAGAAAAAATGGAGACCAGAACCCTGGTGTCATTGGCCAAATGCCCAGACGTTCTATTGCATTCTTTACAAGTAACATGCTTATGGCGTCTATGAGAACTGCAAGTTGTTTGCCTGGGAACAGATGTTGAGACAGTTTGCACGTCGTCGGAGATGTCCTGGCAAGAGGTAGAGGATAACCTGTTTGTAGGAGACGTGACACATATGGGTCGTCTAGGATGCTCCAGTTTATAGTGAATGTGCCATTTTTCCGCCTAAAGGAAAATGGAATGGCTGAAGTCGGAAAGTCCCAGTCGTTCTTCTGTAGTGAGACATTTGGGGTAAGTGTCTCCTGACTTAGGAGTTAGTGTTTCCTTTAGTTTCTGAAAAGGAGACGGTGCGTCCGCATGATTTCCCTCCTGTTGGCAACCTAAGCCACGGCCACGAAAAGAAGTAGACCCAGTACTAAAAACCTCTCTAAGGTCTCGTTGAGAGGGAGTAAAGGTTGGTTGCCTTTGGAATTTCCTTTGCTCTTCCAGTTCCAGAACAAGTAAGTCAACAGTGACATGCAGGGAAGTGTCTCTTTGGACTTCATTGGTGACCTCCTGTATGCGCCCAGCGAAAAGGGAGGCTGTTGACCATGGCAGCTGGTACAGCCTGTTGTGAAATTGATCATCCCATGAGCAATGCTGTAACACCCAACGTCTACAAAGAGTAGGGATAGATCCCTCATGGTGAGCAAAGAGCCTTAGTATAGCTGTTGTTTTATCCTGGATGAGGGTCACAGTACCTCGAATACAGGATTCTTCCGCGGAAGATGCATGAGCTAAAGCCAATGAGAGTGCTTAAGTTGCTGATAAAATAGCGGAGACCAACGGGAGGGTCCTTTGAACAGTGGTGTCGAGGTGAACGAGGTCCCTATCATCCACTGAAGAAGCAGAGTACGGACGCTTAGGAGCTAATGTTGCTCCTAGATGACGAAGCTAGGGAGCTATAGTTGTCTGATGACTCTGATTCTGGTGGTTGGTCCACTGAAAGGGATGTAGTGGCTGTCGATGCAGATTGAGGTACCGTTGTTGGTACAGCAGGTGCCGGTTGTGGAAGACATGCTGCAGCTCGCGAGGGATCCATGATATAGGGATAGCTTGAGGTGGAGCTTGTGATGTATCAGGAGTCTCTGATTCACACAAAACAGGAGGGCATCAAACCGGAGATGGTGATGGGGAGCAGGTACGATGAGTAGGTGAAGTAGAACTCTGCCTATCTTTAGGTGAAGGGCGTCTACTAACGGTAGCTGATGGGAGTGGTCTTTCTCTATTCGCCGAGAATCCTTATGACGAGAAGAGGAAAAATGGCTTGACTGAGAAGGTCTGTAATCCAGAAAAGCGGGATCAAGAGGATACCCATGCCTTGGAGGTTGGGGATCCCTGTAGTGTGGGTATCGTTCCAACTCATGTACGTACGCACTATATGAAGTAGGGTTCCAAGGGTAATCACGTTGATGAAAATATAAAATGTGAGGGTACTCTCTTGGTCGAAAATCCGGATGGATGAGTGAAGGAGAGATCGAGACATGTAGGATGGATGACTAAAAGACTCATTGTAGCGTTCATCCTCCGAGCCTAGACGTAATGGGTCTGAATAGTCTCAGTGTGAGACAAAATAAGTGAATGAGTGATATTCTGCTCGCCTTTTCATAAGACGAGTAACCGATCTGTAAGTGAATGATGCATCTTAGGGGAATCTCTCGAATGTCTCCGATCCTTGGAGGTTTTATGATTTCTCGTGTCCCGTTGAACCTCCTTTGAACCTCCTTTGAAGTGTGTCGATACTTAGTCGTATGTCCGTATGTCCTTCGAGGTTCAGTCAGATTATGTTCGTTGAACCTCAGTGGTTCGACGAGGTTCTGTTGTTGTTTTTTTATCCGAAGATGTATGTTTCGAGTACGGCGATGTTTGGAGGTTCGATGATGTTCGGAGGTTCAAGGTTCAGGGTGCAAGATTCGAGGTTCGGAGGCCCTATGTTCGTAGGTTCGAGGTTCCCTAGTATCCTGGCCCGCCGATGAGGGTGATCGGCCCGATCTAGCTTTCTTGGCCGGTGTTTTCTTGGTTTTCGTGGATTTTTCTGCAGTCTTAGAGATACAATCTGACACCCGACGCCGACATTTATGCAGGTACAGTTGGAAGGATTTGTCTGATAGATGAGCAGAGTTGGCAACGCTCTAAAAAGCTGCATAATCCTCGACAATCCAAACACTGAGAATGAGGGTCAGACGGAGAGAAAACACGTCGGCACAAAGTGCAGACAGATCTCCGTGTGGACTGCTCGTCCATTATGAAGAATAACTATCCCAAACAGGGATTAAGGTCAATTTGCAGGCACGAAGACAACAAAAATATGAAGCTATCTTGCAAGGGAAAAAAACACCAAAATGTATTCCTGTAATAACAACACGTCACCACTACGTGGCGATTTGAAAGAGAATGAGTTGACTGGGATAGATACGTGATCAGTGCAAGAGGGACAACAAGCATGCATAGCGTGCATGATCCAGATCTGGGAGGTGACCGTGGCGATGTGAGGTACAACAGGGTTGAATAACTTTATAGAAGCTGGAAACCTTTATTTCAGACACGTTTCCACTCAGAATCGAAAGAAGAAAGAAGAATGCATAGTGTGAGATAGGATAAGTTTAAAAATTGTTCGTTTTGCAACATAGTACATTTATCTGCGTGTTTGTTTGTGCAACTGGACAATTTACATATACGTTATCTGTAGATCATTTCATCACCACACTTTAGCCATGTGTTTTCTGGAGCACCGTGCACATAATAGTGAATTGTGGGTACGTGGACATGATCAATACTTAGGATTACATTATACATACTTTGTTGAATTGTATTGTCTTGGAAGAACCCAGTTCCCCAAAATGAAATACAGTTGATACACATAAGAACCAAACTGTTTAAATAAAGTATTTACTTTATCACGCACAAACAAATGCACATAATCTCAAGCAGTCGTCATTCAGTGTGACTCTCAAACTTATCTGCGTCACAAGTGTTCTAAAATGTCTTATGTACACTTATGGTTAATGATTTCAAAGAGTCCAGTAAGTCGTACGGTACATGTAAGGTAAACACAAGCCATAGAACCATCTTATTCTAAAATTAGAAATCCATTGTACGATTCCGATTATATTTTACGCAAGTGTTTATGAATCACTATCCATCAGTGACGATTTAGGCCTTTACTGGTGACGTTACTTCCGGGGTAGAATAGGTCTTCAGCAACCCATGCTTGCCCTAAAAGGCGACTATGCTTGTCGTAAAAGGCGACTTACGGGATCGGGTGGTCAGGCTCGCTGACTTCGTTTATGCATGAAATAGATCCCAATTGCGTGCTTCGATGCTCATGATATCAATCACTGGATTGTCTGGTCCAGACTCGATTATTTACAGACAACCGTCATAAAGCTGGAATATTGCTGAGTGCGGCGTTAAACAACAAACAAACTAAACCAAACCTTATCTTTTATAGCAAACGTAACTGCCACTTACGAATGGACCAGGCACACTATAGGAACAAATGGGAAACAATTTCGTTTTGTTTGAACGTTACCAAAGTGTGAAATATAAAGGAGTTTTAAACTTCATTTGATACTAGGCGCTTTAGGAAGTGGTTTTCGAAACAACTAAGAACAAACTTGTCTCAATTCCGTATTCTTTTGTTGTTGTGTTACAATTGATGTTTTCAGGTGGTTCTGGTTCCGATGGGGTGAAGGTCGTCTGGAGTTTGGCGAAGGTCGCATTGCTGGCTTGCAGCTTGTGTTTGATGAACCAATCAACAGACCCATTGAAGAGTTCAGGGTGTCATCATATTATTACACGGTCGAGTACATTCTGGGTATGTTAGTGCTATTGTAAGCATCACCTATCCCAACACACACACACCACACCCTGCCAAAACACACACACACCACACCCTGCCAAAACACACACACAAACACAAGCATACATACATACAAACATTGAGGGGGATATTGAAAGGCGAGTCCCTCAGTGCTTCTAAAGCACTGAAACAAATAAGCAATTCAGCATCAGACTACACAGTTGAATGTGACATCTTATTGACACATAGTGTCTCACACATTACTTTAGAAATACCTGTAGGCACCTTTTTATTACTGGCGAATTTCAATTCACCGTACGTCATTACCTTATGACTAAGTAAACTGCATTTATTTACACAAGTCACCCTGTGTTCTGAACATTTTCTTTCCAATACGCAAAATTGATCCACTTTGTTCTGCTGTGAACAGATCCAGTGTAATAAAAAAAGAATATCCACCTCGGGGCTTATGGTAGCAAGTAATTGGGGACGTCATTATTTCACGCATAATGGCTGATCAATAGAATCAGCTTCATGTATTTACCAACAGATCAGTTATTGTTCTTGGTGTTGCATTGTAATGCTATTATCTCACAGAATATATTGAAAAGCGTAGATGTGAGAAATGAAATTTCACATCACGCATGTACTGGACATTGTGCACGTGCACATAGAAACCAAAGTGTGTGCACCTATAGGAAACTCAAAGTCACTAATGCAAAGAGCTAAGTACACGTGTAGGGGTTTCTCTACAAGTGGAATAACGGCCAATACCACGGGCAAACCTACCGGGATAGAATAGGTCTTCAGCAACCCATGTTTGCCGTAAAAGGCGACTAACGGGATCGGGTGGTCAGGCTCGCTGGCTTGGTTGATGCATGTCATCTTACCTCAGTTGCGTAGATCGCTGCCAATGAAGTCAGCCACTGAAATGTCTTGTCCACACTCTATTATTTACAGACTGCCGTCATATAGCTGGAGTATTGCTGAGTGCGGCTATAATTTTTTTTTTAAAAATACGCACTCTGATGCCATCAAGATGTACATGTCGTTCATGGATCGCCAGAAATGGATCTACACGCCCGAAAATAATTTACAAGAAATTTATCGTCGGTACACATTCACTGTGATTGCATCATTTCCCATATTTTAGGGCGGGAGTGTATTTTCCTGATCATTCTACTGGTGTGCACAGATCGTAATGAAACAGCAACCAGAAAAGTGTGATTCGGGTTTTGAATTGGTTGTCTATGTTGAAGTAGTAGATGTAGAATGAGTGCCAGTACTTTATTGGAAAATAAATTTACTCTCGAGTCTTACAGCGCAGACAAGTACTTGTGACCCGTAAATAATTAACAATGTGTTATCATAGTGTACATGTATATACTGTGCTTATACAGACATCTCTGCTCAAATGGGGTTTTATTTGTTTCCCGATCAGTGGCTACGTATGCATACCAGGTATCATTCTCAACTACCCGGAGGTGCCTATAGTCCTGGTGGGTTTCTTCATCCACCTCACACATCAGGTACTCGTTCCCTGTTGGGTGAACAGAGGCTCGGTTGAACAAAGCCACTTGCCCAGGATGACATCTTTTTGACACTTGGGGTGTTGGTGTTTATGGCGAAATAACAACCTGATCACTAGCGGGATCAGATCTCAACACCTGGTGCTTGCTTACCCCACGCTTTTGTACTTTTACCTGTCCCTAAACGCAAGGCTAATTCCTATGTAAATTTCGAGGTACAACCACCTCCGTAACACTGTAGTATTGACAATATTGGTCGTAATTCATGACGGGATATAGAGACTATTCTGCGAGCATGTGTGCCATAGGGATTTTACCAACCGGGTGCAGAATTCTTAAACGAGTTTCTTAAAATCAATATGATTTACATGCGATTGTTATAATTTCTTCATTACCCATAATTTCTTAATTCTTTTAAACTCCCCTTCAGAAATGTTCACTGATCACGAGCGCTGTCTCACAAAACCACGATTGTAGAAAGACGTCAACAATCTTGAGCTATGGCGTCTTTTCTAGTGTGACGTCAATAATACCGTCCAGGTGGCGTAACCAAATAATGGTGAAGTGATATTTGCAACAGAGAATATAAGTAGATTTTTATGAACTCTGTTAATTCTAACCACATGGGTAATGCATAATTGCATTGCACTTATCTCAAATGACAATTACGCGAGCTTTTAGCTGTGATCCAATTTCTAATAAAGACTTTCGAAACTGGATATATATTGGGAAATTCCAGTGAAAAGAAAAACAACTTGAGGGGAATAAAAAGCATGTTGAATGGCAGTTTCTTGCAATATACAGCTATCTTAACCTCGCACACTGAGATACATTTGTCTTCGCAGGTGAAGGCTATGAGTCCCAATATGGTGTAGCCAGCCTGAGTGGGAGATACTCCGACGGGCTGCTGTACGAGTGCAAGGCCTGGAGTGGTGTACACTGTGCCACGCAGTGTCAGGCACACGGAAACTGTCACATGTACAGCTACCAGAAACACCAGGCTATCTGCGCCCTCTACAATAGAGATATGTCATCATTCACTTTGACGTCCGAAACTGGATGGGTTTCGTACCAACTTCGTTATTGTGATTAAATCCTTAGTTTCTGAATGGGGAACACGTTATTGGTGATGTTTCTGGTTATTTCCCTTCAGAACATGCACATAGACTGTATTGTACACAAAGTGGTATACATGTTTATTTAGCCGCCATATAGCTGGACTATTGCTGAGTGCAAACAAAGGAACAAACATGTATATTTAGAGAGAAATATAATGTAATAAGATTGCACCACTGGCTGTTTTAGCAACAATTTGGGGTAATTGTGGCTGGTGTCACACGCTGAACATATTGTAGGTAAGTAACCATTACGAGGATAAATGGCGTCAAATATGGCGTCAAATATGGCGTCAAATATAAGAAATATCCGCTGGTACACATGACTGTCGGCTCATTCATATTGTAAAGAGGGGATTTCAAAATTAAAATGCAAAAGTTTTATAAAAAAAATCGGTTCGTACAAAACTGAATTGTGAAATCAGCTAGAGACCCCACAAAACCAATGAATAATTAAAGAATTACATTATCGTAAGTTTACAATTACAAAAGGTCATATGATGGATGAAGAAGCAGCAGCAACAACAATCAGGTTTATAAAAATAATCAGTGCACTCGAATGTCCAGAATTTATTCACCTTTCAATGTCTGTCTTTCAGTACGTGCGCCGATAAAGTGGAGATTGGCAGGAATTCGGTGATTTTTATAGGTATCCCGTGTGCACTATAGAGTGAGTGAGTCATAAAGGGCGCTCGTGAAAGGCCTGAAATCGCCCTCGCCTTGCCAGCCAGACTTTTAGAATATGTCACGTTCGAATGCTCTCAAAAGTCTATTTTGAAGTTTGTTTACTTACGGTGCAACTCGGCGATTGTAGGTTTCAATCGTTTATGAGCGCCTCAGTCGTTTGCTGATACTGACAATGTCCAGAAATTAACCCACAGCAATCTCTACATAACGATATGATTAGTACATGTCTGTGCATTTGTTACATAAACGCTTTGTGCATAGAAGTAATTATCACTTTTGCATTTTTGCTAGAGTGTTTCTTTGTTTCTTTAAACTGTTCTTAAATATGTGTTGAACAGTTTCTCCTTCCCTAAATGTCACAAATGTGAAACAAAATTGAATTTTAGACGACAGATTATTGCAATATAATGCCATTGGAAGCGAACCAACCAAGTAATGGTTTGACATATGTTCATGTTTTTTTTTCACCACCAACATCTTTTAGTGAATATCTGTCTTCGTTTAGGTATCTGAATTTGATAAACTGTGTGTAATTGTAAATATGTTATGGCAGTTTTGTTGTGTTAATATTTTTTCATTGTAATCGTCGAAATGACATCTGGAGGAAATAAAGAATCCCACTTTCTCTCTCCCTCTCTCATTTTAATTTTGTATTGTCCACCTGACATATGCAGTTTCTTATACGACTCTTGCTCAAAAGCTGTTTGATCAAGGCTACAATGTTCAAGGCCTCAGTGCAACATTCAGAATGGGACATTGGTATCATCACTATTTATAATCTAAAGTAGATATAAGTTTTCGTTAAGTGACTCATGATTATGACTGTGTAATGTGAGTGTGAGTGAGATGGCTTTTAACAGTATTCCAGTTATATCGCGGCGTGTCAGCTTAATGTGAGAGGAAAGCTCGAAGTGATACAAATCTCAGACGTTTACCACTACGGTGAAAACCACGAGCACGGGTATGGTGCTGCCAAACCTAGAAACATAATCGGGGCGAACCAGGATTCGAACCCACATCATAGGATTCTGGCGCCTTAGACGACTGGGACACCCTGATCCCCCCTATGTGTGAGGAAGGAAGTATGAGAATGTTATCAGTTTGAGGGAGCTGACCCTGTAATGGAAGGCCATTGATTGTGAGAACATGGGCTGATTTCCTTTTGGAGTTTCAAACTAAAGTGCATTATTTGTTATATAAGATTGACTTAAGTGTATCCTTCATCGGATACAGAACATCCTTTCACCTACTGAGCCCTTAATCCAAGATCATGGTATTGTATTTGCATTGTTTGAAGTTCGTTTCAAGTTTGAATATAAATGCTCAAAAATATCACCCTGTGGTTTTTCTTTCGAATTTCACCCTGGGAAATATGTTGGTTAATAGATCGTCTCAACGTCTTCATCTGAGTTTTTCGTAAGTGTCTCTCATTGTTTTGAGCAATTTCATTAGTCTAACATATTTCAACGGACACCTAACATGCCGACATTCCCAAAACACTAACATCAATGCGTTTTGGGAAAAAAGTTTATTAAAACATTGAGGAACAGGATGCTGGTTCAAATATCCGACAGACCTGCGAACATCCGGGATAGAATAGGTCTTCAGCAACCCACACTTACCGGAAAAGGCGACTATGCTTGTTAAGAGGCGACTAACGGGATCGGGTGGTCAGGCTCGCTGAAATGGTTGATGCATGTTTGTTTGTTCGTTGTTTAACGCCGCACTCAGCATTATTCCAGCTATATGTCGGCAGTATGTAAATTGTCGAGTCTGGACAAGACAATCCAGTGATTGACATCGTGAGCATTGATCCACGCAATCAGTATCAAAGGAAAAACGTGCATTTCGCGTTCGGGAAACTAGGCTTGTCATCACGTGTTGAACTGTGAGCCACGGTGATAGTCTTTTGGACGTATTGATACATAACATAGTTTCCCCGACACGAATGGGATTTGATGGCGATCATTAATGATTAAGAAGGGATTAATTGGATTTACATTGGAACAAATACTAAGTAAGCAAGAAAAATTATTCATTTTTACACTTGACTAACTATGTAATGTAACAATGACTTATGTAGGCTTCTTTTTGCATTCGTGACTTATTTTAAGTAATATTATACTATACAATACTACTCTCGATGGATTACTTAAGTTCGCCCTGCTTTTCAATTAATGATGGGAGCTAATGTGTTGCTTTTGTCTATCCTTTCTTTTAATCACTTCATTTGGAGGATCACTTTGTTTCTTGTTTCAATCATTTTATCTGTAAACAAAATTGGGACAGATGTGAGTTGGATTTAGCGCCGCTTTTATCATTATTCCAGTTATATGAAGAATTTTTATGAAAGGAAGATACATACATCGATCAATGCTCCAAATTTGTATGCGCCATTATGGGTAATACAGAATGCATGAATAAACCATATTGATTGATTTCGAAAAAGCTTTCGTTTCAGTTGAATAAGATTTGTAGAATCTTCCTTTGATTGATTCGATTTTGACTATTTTAACAAAAATGAATATAGACACTGTGGTCCTTACTCCACTTTTTGTTGGAATAACTGTTCTCATAAGTCACAATCATAAGCTTACAATCTCTAAATCATCGTTTTACAACACTTTCTCGACACTATTACTAATAAACAAAAAAGTTAAATGTATTTGGAAGGTAAACCTGAGAAGGTTTAACGTACCAGTACTATTATAAAAACATATAAATTCTCATTGAACTAATAAACCCATCATACGACTTGCATCCAACAGAAATGGGGTCTAAATAATTAAGCAAAAATGTCTCACCTAATGTAATAAGTTGGTACTGCAATCAACATTGTGGAGGAAGCAAAATGTTTTGGGGTTAATATTTGACAGACATTTAACCTTTCTACCACACATTATATATCTTAAAGCTAAATGCCTGAAGGCTCTTGATCTACTCAAAGTTGTCTCCAATTCAAATTTAGGAGGGGATCAAACAACACTCCTTCATTTATATCGTTCCCTTATCCGGTCAAAACTTGATTATGGCTCCATTGTTTATGGTGGAGCCTGTGAAAGCAATTTAGAAAATTTCTTTGAGTGGCATTTAGAAGTTGGAGTGATGAAGTAAGACGAGTTCTATGGATGAACAACTTCTTTATTACAATTAGTGCGACGTTTCGGTGTAGATCCTAACACCTTTATCAAGCAAGTGATCACTTGCTTGATAAAGGTGTTAGGATCTACACCGAAACGTCGGACTAATTGTAAGAAAGAAGTTGTTCATCCATAGAACTCGTCTTACTTCAATTTAGAAAAGTTAGATGCAATACACCATCAAGGACGACGGCTCTGTATTGGAGCATTTAGAACATCTCCTATTGACAGTTTATACACAGAGGCTGACAACGCCGTATAAAGTTATCTCTACAATTTATCACTCAATTGGCTTCGAATCCAACCGCATGTCGTTGCTGCTAATATAGATTTAGATTTAATCACTTCTCATCGACTGTCTAATCCTCCTTGGCAGTTGGTCAGACCGGAAGTGGACCTCTCACTCACTCAGTTAAAGAAATCTGACACAAATGATTTAAAATACCAACATGAATATTTACAATTACGACACAAATATGATTTACATCGTTCAATCTTCACGGATTGATCCAAGGATAGTGGCAAAGTTTCCAGTGCCACTGTCATTATATCAAAAATCATATCTACAAGAATCCCAGACAATAGCTCTATTTTTACTGCTGAGGCAAACACTATAAAAACAGCCTTGGACTTTATTCAACATCAGTCTAACAGTAAACAATTTATCATATTTTTCTGATTCTCTTCCATGCCTTCAAGCACTAAACAATGTCTCTTTAAATCATCCATGTATTCTTGACATTTTAAAATTGTACAATGATCTGTCCACTGGCCAGTGCGACATCGTATTTTGTTGGTAACCAAGCCATGTTGGCATCGTGGCCAATACAAAAGCTGACATTGCAGCTAAGGCTACCCTTGAAAAGTCTGTCTCTAACATCCTGATTCCACACTCTGATTTTAAATCTTGAATAAAAGATTATTTAAATCATTTAAGACAAACAAAGTGGAATACCCAGTTATAGTCTGAAGGTAATTTAAGGTACCAACGTTTACTAAAATATCTGAAAAAACTATTGGGCCTACTCCAGTCAAAGTTGGTATGAGATTATTAAACAGTCATACATAACTGGATATTACATATAAAGACAATCGCCGCATGAATAAAAAATCTGTCTATTTAGCTATCACCATATTTCGTCAAAAACCAGACCTGTTCGTCACGTGTGATACGAGCATTC